AATTCATCAAGTCTGTTTGAGTGCGAACTCAATAACAAGTCAGGGGTCATTTTTTATTCGGTTAATTTTAATGATAAAGCAAGTTAACATTATGAATGTTATTGATCAAAGACAAGTTTTTAAAAGTCTAGAATCAGAAATTAGGTGCACAAATACATGTCTTATAAAAGTAGCTTTTTTGTGATAATCATTTTTTATCATGACGAAAGATGGAAAACTTTACGAATATGTAATAGGTTTCCATGATTTTTTTTTTAGTTTCGTTTGGTAACATTTTTCTGTGCATTTTTTAACTCTGTTTGCCGCAGTGGCGAATGGAAATTTTTTTAACGTCGTCGGGATGACCAGACGCCGAGATATGCATTATAAAGTGACCGTTTGTATTTGAGGCGTGGATTGTGTATAATATACATGTACATGTCATGGCAATGAAGGATTACTCGTACATGTACAGAAGTGATTCGTCATATCTAAATGTGTAAATCATCTAAGATAAAATATATTAATAAATAGTTAGCCCTTATCGTCGAAATATAATAAAACGATTAAAGCTGGTCCTACACTGGTCGTGAAAACTTTCACCAGAAGTGCATGATTCATATAATAAAATTAATTCGCTTGTTATCTTATAATTGAAACAAGACCTAAGAAGATACGGGGAAATAAAGCTTCGTCGGCGTTCGAAAAGATGACCAGACGTGTTCAATTGGCTAACAAGGTAGATTGTGGATACCGGGTTTCCCGCTCTATCAAGAAAGTCATAGGGAAAGAACTTAGAGGAAAAAATGCCATATCCCACTGTGATCCAACGACGATTGCTAGTCATCGAAATCGCATGTTTGAAAACGAGATTGAACACAATCACGCAACAGAAAAGGAATTAATAATAGATAGTTAACGAATAAAAAATATGATCGCAAAAAAAAGGAGATCGCATTGTATACATGTAACAAAAAGGAAACTTGAATTGTATAACAAAAGCGAAAACTAGCAACACGAAAGAAAATTAGAATCTCGTAATAAATAAGCTGAATATGCAAGGAAACAATATTGCACGTAATGAATGAAAATTATTTATGATTATTAATTTAATTAAATAAATAATATTTACTGTAATTGACAGTATCGGTATATAACAATAATAAATCTTGTGATGCGTCAATTAAACAATGCTAAGATGAGGTTTTTTTTAAATGACTTCAAGAAGGTTGTTAACGAGCCTATAGTACATAATAAACTAATTTCCCTATCCATAATAATGTATTGACATTATTTTTTCAATAGTTCCGTCAAGTCAATTTCAACGGTTTGTGTGTAAACTACGTACATAGTGAAAAAAATGATTGAATCGCAAATGTTAATTAAAACTAAAAAATATCGACTGAATTGCTTAACTAAACTAACAAAAATTGATTTGACTTATCAAAAATTAAGCTCGCGAAAGTTATAAATACTTTAATTTTCTTTTAGATACTGTTGCTCGTATTTCCTCCGTACAAATTTTCTAGAAAAGAATTTAAACAGGGCACAAAATTGAAGAAGACTGGTATTAATTGCAAGATGGTTTGGTCCATTTTTTCTTAAAAAACTCGGACTGAAAATTTCTGTCCTGGCTGAATTTCTCGAGGATCTTATCGTTATTGGAATACATGTAAATAGAAAAAAAAATGCCTAAGGAAAAATCAATGATAATGTAAAATCTACGTCAATGAAACTATTAAAGATTCACCTGTAACTCACAATGTTATAATTTGGATAGACTCGGAAAGAAAATATTCAATACTTTTTAAAAAATATGGCGAAAATTGTAAGAAATTCTAAAAGGATTTTGACGAAAACCATTTGTTCTAAAAGATTTTTTGTTTCATTCTTTTGAGTCATTGATTTACAATGATTCAAAATCATTATCATTGCAATTATAAGCAAAGAAATAGAACGATTACTTTCTTTAAATTGTCTTAATGGATTAGATTGGGAGTAATTTCACAACATATATATCAAAGAAGATCAAAATCAATGTCAATTACTTTATCTATGTTAAACACTTCAATAAAAAGATACAAACAAGTTGGAACTAAGGCAGAATCTTAAGTTGTAATAAAATCAAGAATATTTGATGCATTAAAGTTCATTGATAGATGGGAATTAACATGGCCTAAAAACATGATAGATGAAATGAACAAATTCGTAGAAACCGAATTATCAAGTTTTTTCTCTTTTTGTTTATCTGTTACAACTTTGTCAACACTATACTTTTATTAGGTTAAAAAATAAACATCCACCTATATGCTCTTAATGAAATTGAAAAAAGGAAGATTTGGCATGCATAGAAATCACAAATGCTGCTCAAAATCATGAAATGCTTGGGCATAATCTCACAATCGTACGTTACTTTATATATACGTTCTGGATTAAATTGGAATTTGGATCATTCTGGAATGGTCTGATTGACATCCAGACCATTTAAGAAAGCTGATATGATCTGGGCATGTTTATTTGTTTTTCTTTTTAGAAAAATTTTTACGAATAATCTCTTTGAAGCTCAATATTTCAAGATCCAATGATGAGAATTGAGAGTAAGCTCACCATTTGATTCGTCAAAACCTAGAAAATTAGATGATGTGATTTATATTCAACTTTCATTACTGGGTCTCAAGATAGTGAATTTTTATTTGGCAATTTTTTGTGTATAATCTCTTTGAATCTCAATATCTCAAGATTCAGTGATGAATAAAATTTACTATTTTATTTGTCAGAACTTAGAAAATCAAATAATAGGCTTTATATTCAATTTTCATTACTGAATCTTGAAATATTGAATTTTCATTGACAATTTTTGTGCACGTCTCTTTAGAACTTAATACTTGAAGATTCCGTAATGAAAATTGAATATAAAGTCTATTATTTGATTCTTTAAATTTTTGATAAATTGAATTATGAATTTTACTTTCTTAATTCTTATTATTGAATCTTGAAATAATGGGATTTAAAGAGATCATATAAAATAAAAATTCCTGTATGATTTCTTTAATAATAAAAATTAAATATAAAGTTTATTTTAAGTTTTAGCAAATTAAATAATGAATTTTATATTTAATTTCATTAATAAATCTTGAAATATTGAGCTTTAAAGAGAATATACAAAATTTTTCAAAAAAAACAAATTGCTAATATAATTGATATTTTATTTAATAATATAAATATTTTATAATAGTTCAAATCATATTAGATTTCTTAAATAATCTGATTTTAGAATAATTCAAATTTCAGTTTAATTTAGAATATATACTATTATATAAAATAATTATCAAATTCAAATTATTAATATATTATTATAGAAAAAATTTTATATTTAAATATATATATATATATATATTTATATTAAAAAAATGAAAAACAAAAATAAATTATTATGAAATCAGTAATAAAGCTGAAAAATATTATAATTATTAAGAATTTAATAATATAAAAGTTTAATTAAATACTTGACTTTTATTTTTAAAAATAAATAATAATTTAGAAATATTTTAAAGAAAATTGAAAAATAAAATTAATTTTTGTAATAAATATAAAAAAATAAAATATTTTTATTTAATTAATAAATAAATATAAAATTTTAATATATAATAATGATTAAAATTAATACATTACTTAAATTTTTTATTAATTATAATTAGTAAAATATATATTTTTCCTTATATATAAAAGTTTTTAATTTTATTAACAAATATTTTTTTATTTTTAACTCAAAAAATAGATAAAGTTTTCTAGTTTAATATATATTTTTTTCAGATTATTTGGATTTTTTACTGATAACTTGTTCTAATTGTATATGAAATCGATTAGTTTTATTAATTAATAATTAGTAAAAATTAATTAACTTCATATATAATTAGAACAAGTTGTCAGTAAAAAATCTGAAAAATTTGAAAAAATAACTATTAAACTAGAGAACTTTAGCTATTTTTTGAGCTAAAAATAAAAAATATTTGTTAGTAAAATTAAAAACTTTTATATATAAGGAAAAATATATTATAATTAGTAAAAAATTTAAATATTATATTAACTTTTAATAATCATTATAAATAATAAATTATTATTATTTTATAAAAATTAATTTAGAATTTCTTAAAATTATAATTATTTTTTCTATCTAATAAATAATTTTATTTAATTATTTAAGAATATTTATATATAAAAATTATTAAAATTATTTTAAAAATTATCTATATAAATTAGAAAGAATTTAAAATTATTCAAATAATAAAGTTATTATAATTAGTCAATTTATTAATTTAATAAATAAATTTGATTTAATTATAATTATTATTAATTTAATTAATAATTAATTATAATTATATTTAATATAAAATATATATATTATAGATAATAAAAGTATTTTTATAATTAAAAAATAATATATAATATAAACTTTATATAATATTTATAATAATAATATACTTTTAAAATATAAACTAAGAATTTTTATAAGAAATTCTTATTATTATTATTATATTTAAATTAATTATTAAATTATAAATATAATAAGAATTAAGAACTAGATAAATATTAAATAATATGAAATTTATTAATATTTTAAAAATCTTTTATATTAATTTTTTACAAGATTATATAATTAAAAATAAAAATAAAATTTAAAATAAATTTATTTAATTTTAATTTATAAATAATAATTATTATTAATAATTAAAATTTAAATAACTAAAAATAATTATAAAGATTTGTTAATATAATTTAAATATTATTTAAATTATAAAAATAAATTTATTTTAAAATAACAAAAATAAATTTTAATTAAATATATAATTATTATAAGCTATTGCAAGAAGATTGATATATCAATATAAAAATTAATAATTACTTCTAATAAAAATCATTCAAATTTTAATTAATTTTTATAATTTTTTTATATTAAATAAAAAATTATCTAGATTTACTTTTTATATTATTTTGATTATTTTATTATACTTTAATTTAATAATAAATAAAGTATTACTATACTAAAAAAACTAAAAAAATTTATTTTTTTTAAAAAAAAGATATTTTAAATATTATTATTATTAATATATAATATTAAAATTTCAAACATGTAAACAAATTGTTCTATATTTGATAAATATATATTTTCAATTTTATAAAAATTAAATTAGTAGTTATAAAGATATTAAGATTCAAAGTTTAGTAATTAAATTATTTACTATATAGTTTTTATATTAATTTTAATCAAATTTTATATAGTAAAATTT